ACATTTTTAAAAATTTTACTGGCCGGATGTGGTGGCTCACATCTGTAATCCCAGCACTGTGGGAGGCCAAGATGGCTATATTGCTTGAGCTCAGGAGTTTGAGATGGACAACATAGTGAAACCCCATCTCTACCAAAAAATACAAAAATTAGTTGTGTGGTGGTGGTATGCCTGTAGTCTCAGCTGCTTGGGAGGCTGAGGTGGGAGGATCGCTTCAGCCTGGGAAACAGAGGTTGCAGTGAGCTGAGATTGCACCAGTGCACTCCAGCCTGGGTGATAGAGCAAGACCCTGCCTCAAAAAAAAAAAAAAGAAAAAGAAAAAGAAAATCTTTTACTAATAATAACCCCCAACTAAAACTCCTGAATTAGGTGAACCATTCTGTTTTGTTGTTGTTGTTGTTGTTGTCTCCCTAATATTCAGTACTTTTTACCCCTCATGTTATATAGACTGATAGCAACTTCTGGCCTTTTCCATTCTGAACTGTAAAACTAGACTTCTGGATCTGGGGAGTGGCAGATTTAATGCCTGACTTGGAGGTTTCTAACTGTATATTTACCCATTGTTGCTTTTCTGATCCCTAGACTTGTTTCCATCAGTATCACCAATGGACCAGTATTCTGTGGTGTGGTTGGAGCAGTAGCAAGACATGAATATACAGGTAGAATAGGACATTGGACTGCTAGCTTTGTGACTTAAGGGAAGAAAGTAGAAGACATAGTCCAAAATTTCTACAACTGTCTTTCTGACACAATTATTGGCCCAAAAGTGAGTCTTGCAGCCAGAACGATAACTGCTTATCCAGGTTTGGTGTCCTGTGATGAGGTAACGTATCTAAGATCCATGCTACCTGCTTACAACTTCAAGAAACTCCCAGAGAAAACGATGAAAAACATCTCCAACCCAGGGAACATATATGAATATCTTGGCCACAGAAGATGCACGTGAGCATCATTGTATGATAGGTTTACTCTCATCTCTTCCAGAACAATAAGTTTTTGATTACATGAAATTAGAAAAAAAGATGCTGCTAGTAATGACATGCTGGAATAAGACACACAAAAGGTGGGTTTAGTGTCTGAGAGCTTTAGGTTTTATGTTTAGCTCTTAGCTAGTTCTTCAGCGAATGTCCTGCTCTCCAACAGGAAGAGAATAGCAGTAGGTCACTAACCCAGATCTTCTTTGTTCTTTTTTTCTTTGTGTACTTCACTATTCATTTACTTCCCCAAGCCTGGAACAATCAATAATGTTTCCTCTTTACTTCCTCTCCCCCCAAATTTTTAGATTTTAAAAACCCTTTTATTCAGAACTCTGTACCGCCTTAATTATCTGAAAGTATTTGCTTATGAAGACAGCTGTTCCTAATCTATTTTTAATAAATACATTTCCCTTTGTTCTTTTTGTCAGAATGTTTGGAAAAAGACATTTGTCAAGAAAGAGAAACAAAAATTACCCTTTGTTGGGTACGTTTTCTTTTGTAACTTAAATCATATTTGTTTCAGCTGTAGATGGCTAAATGTGATTTAAAAAACAAAACAATGCAAGACCAAATGCTTTTAAGTTATATTAAAAAATAGCAAACTTCTTAGTGAAATTTTGAAGAGAACTTATTATTTCTTTTTCATGTCAAATATTCAAATTTCAGGTGAAATCCTATAACTTCCTGAGAAACACCAACATTTAGTAATAATCTTTGTTAAGTCATAGTTCAGCTATTGAGATCAGACCAGCTTATTGTGGATCATCTTTAGAGAAAAAATCCTCATCCTTAGAATAGTGAAAATAGCACCAAGACTGTGATCACCCACACTGTATATTCCCTATCTTTATGTTTATTTTAGTCTATACTTATTAGTCCATTATTTTTACATAGTAGTAACAGATTTTGAAGACTAAATTGATTTTAAGAAAATTTTTACAAAAAACATAAGAGGCACTCGTGTCCACAAAGTGCCTAATTTTTCTGAATATTACTACATATGCTCTGGAATAAGCCCTCAAGATCAGCCTATGTTAGCTCAGAATTGATTTTCTGGAAAGAGATATGAAGTCCCATCAATGAATGAGATTCTTAAAACAATTCTGGAGGAAAAAGGCCATTCTGAGAGTTAGCTTTGCAAACTGATTCAAATCAATAGAATATCTACTAAAAAGCACAGGAGTGTTAGGTGCTCCCTGTCTCTCTACAGACCGGGAGAAAGAATTGGAAGCCTTCCAAGTGGCCCAGCAAAAGTGTTTGCATCAGAAGAAGGGACAAGCAGTTCTGTATGAAGGTGGAAAAGGCTATGGAAAAAGCCAGCTGTTGGCTGAAATAAACTTCCTGGCCCAGAAGGAAGGGCATAGGTAAAGACTCCTGCTTTCTGACTTAGTCAGAGCCTACTTCTCTTGGGGCTTCTTTCCCTTGTTACTGAGACTCTTGTGTCATTAGATCCAGCATTCTTGGACTGGTGAAGCAAGTAACCTATGTGTGGTACATGGGACTCTTGATGACCATAGTAATATTCACCAGGGTGTTGCCATTGATGCTGAAGGAAGCAGATTCCAAGCAGTGCTTCTATGCCATCCAGACCCTCATGGCCATCTTCTTTGAGATTGATATGTGCCCAGCCTATTACCGGCAAGAGTACCTACAAAGACAGCTTCATAGGATAATGGAAGAACAACTTCACTGCCTTTTTAATGACCTCTTATTTGTGAAGGTAATGAAGGCAGTGGCTTTCTGAATTAGATTACTATTATATTTTGTGGATATTCAGACTTAGGATTGTCTTCTAATCTAATAATCTGAGGATGTACGTATGTGTATATGGTGGGACCAAGATTTGAAATTCCTTCAACACCAAAACTCAGGCTTTCTCCTTTTGAGGAGAATGAATTCTAGTATTGAACCTGACACTTGCTAGTTGTATGTCCTGGAGCAAATCACTTAGCCTCTCTGAGTCACAGTTTTTTCATCTGTGAAATAACAATTATAGTACTGTATATGTTTTAATGTGAAATTTAAAGGAGATGGTATACAAAGAGATTGCATTGTATATTTTAAAGTGCTAAATACATTTAAGGTGGCCATCACCAGTGGCATATCCCCAGGAATTATATCCATGTGTTCTTGAGTTGGTTACAATTTCTTTTATCTTTTAAACATACCTTCCTGTTCCCTTACTGCAGAATATATCATTTGAAACCAGCATCTGTATCTCAAAAGCCTTCAGAGGTCTAGGGTGTATGGGATTTCCAGCAGTAAGCAAACTAAAAATTCACTGGTGTACAATTTGTTTTATTTATCCTCTATCACTTCTAATCTACCCACCCTGCAGAGTATTATGGAATAGAAAATAGAGACACTAAGATCTGTCTAATCCTTCAACATATCCCTCTCTTAAGGTAGGCCTTGCTTGGGACTCTAAACTCTTGCCTACATAGATTAGCAGTCATCTCACTTTGGCTCTCAGGTCCCTCATAGTTCGCATGCCTCAACCTAGCATAGGAAACAATGTTAGGTGATGTCTATTGCATCTTGTTCTGGCAAGTCTCATGTACAGATTCATCCTGGTATACTTCGAATAACTAAAGTACTGGAGCTGTCCAAAATGTCATTGCTAAGTTCAACCTGTCATTTACTCCTTAGTCATAACCCTCTAAGGGTTTTTCTAGAGTCTGGTATGGAAAGGAGATAGATACCTGTCTCTAACCCTTCATGAACTTTCTGTCTCACCTTTTGAACTATATATTAATGTTAGATTGGCCCTTGTAACTCTGTGCTCAATCTTGCAGAAACCCATTCTCAGCCCAAATAGAATTGTTTGGTGTTCCCTTTGGAGAACCTGCATGTTTTTATTAGGTTTTCATTTTAAATGCTAACATATAATAATTTTCCTGATCAGTTTCCTTTGTCCTTCAAAGTTTCACACATGGATGATGTGGCCAGACAAAATAAGGTTAAAGCGTGTTTTATTAAAGTACTTCAGGAGGTGGGTACTTTCACTACATATCATTAACTCTTAATATGTGGAGATTGTATATGTTTATTTTAATCTGTCCACATCGCACTTTGATTCAGGCATTTCTTGGCCTGCCTGTCTGTTGATATCTTCATTGTTATTTATCTACTTTTAAGCTTGGATTTACCCTGTAACACAGCATGGCATACAAGAAAAGATCTTTACTCTTTTCAGATCCTGTTTCTAAATAAAATTTTAGTAGTTTAATTTAAAATAGTAGTTTCTAAATGCAGTTGTGTAGCTGTTTTACCTACAATTCATTAAAAATGCAGATACTCAGGTTCTACCCTAGGATTATGGAATCAAAAATCTGTATGAGCAGAAACTGATGTAACCATTCTGGAAAGCAATCTAAAAGTAGTCAAATTTTAATAACATGTATCTCTAGACCCAGCAATTCAACTCCTGGATATATATCCCAACAAGTACATTTTTAACAGTGTTTGTGGAGGCCAGGGAGGTATCAGCATGAATGCATGCATGAATATGATGGAACAAAATGCAGAATTTAGAAATAGGGGAATGTATGAAAACATAGCCATATGAACTTAAAAGCAGTCCTGGTTACAAAGAGAGAAATAATGGGATCTGTAATACAGTTGCAGTTACTTAAAAACAATGTACTTGACAAAACAACAATGGACATTTTGTAAGAACACCATAGAAACAACTATGCAATAAACACATTAGAATGGTCACTTGAGGCAGTAGTTTTTTTAAGTCTGTTTGAGTGTGGCTTGGTAATTGGTAGTGCTGCCAAATACTCCCAGGTGATTCTGATGCATAGCCTGGTTTGGAAATTGCTGTTTTAAGGTATTATGAGCTCCCACACAAGATGAAGCTTTTGCCAATATGAAATATTTGAAAGCTTCAGGTTTGATTTGGAGAATATTTTGATGCTTATTTCATGTTTCAGTTAGAGAATTTTCTTGTCTACAGAAACCTAGTCCTTTTTTTAGGGATTCAATTTTATATTTATAAAGTAAAATATTAACCTGGACTTAGTACATTTTGCTCTGAAAACTCTAACATGTGTTAACATTTTATTTAAATTATTGATGGGAAATTCACAGTAGATTTGAAAACCAGGTGACTTTATTTCTGATCAGAGGTCGTTATTGTTTCTTTGCTGTTCTTTCCAGGCAGTGAGGGAAACACCACTGATTTTCCTCATTGATGAGGCCCAGTATATGGATGCCGCTTCCTGGGAATTTTTGAAAACGTTGCTCTCCAGTATGCCCATCATCATGGTGATGGCATTGACCCCTATCTTCACCCTGTGTGGCTGGGCCCAGCATTTCCTTCAGAGCCTTCAGGCTGTCCTTATGCCTATTTCGAAATTGGCAACAACCTCACTGTTGAGAATGGCATGTTGGGAACTAGGGGTGGTGAGCATCCCCCAAGAGCTGCAGATGTGAGTGGCTAGGACTAGCTGAGCACTTCATTAAGGGAGGAGCCAGTGCCATAGTATAAGTGAGAAGGCACAGGTCTTACTGGAATTGGGGGAGAGAATGGTATTAGTAACCATGATGAGGCCCCAAGGCTAGATTTAAGGGAAACAGTCTTCTTGTAATCAAGTAAGGGGCTGCCTCCCTGGGCTCTCCACCTAGATTTTCACAAGACAATTAGGACTTGGGTGGCTTGCTTCATGTGTCAGTTATATGTGATCAGGCCACTTTCTGCCAGACCCTTTAGCAAGGAGATGTTTGTTTCTTTCAACATCAATAAAAGCAAAATAGTTGAGAAAGAAAAGTTATTGCCAAGATGCATTTCAAGGCCAATAAGAAATTACTTTTTTACATTTCTGTGCCTCTGCCCCACTCTATTAGTGTTTGTCATGAAGAGCTGACTTTAACAAAAGAAGATTCCTCAGTATGAAGTACTGTTATGTTTGGCTCCGCTGAAGTGATCATCTGTAATGTGAAATACCTTACCTCCCTGCAGCTACCTTCACAGGTGCTTTGGAAACCCCCTTTATTGTGAGGTCCTGTGCCAAGACCTTCTCTGTAAGGACATATTGCTCTTTCATGACCTACAAAAGGAGGAAGAGGAAAACAGCAAGTGGGAAAATCTCTCAGGTAAGCTTAATTTCCCAGAGTTCTACCCTGGTCCAGCTGCTGAAGTTCATTCTCAAACATGACATCTCTTGGCCTTTACAAGGTACATGCTTTTTCTTTGCTAACATTATAGGCCACACTAGGCCTTACAAGATAAGCACACAATGCAAATATTATACAACTAGGGTGAAAACACTCAAGACTTGCCTCGGATAACTTAATCCAGTAAATCTACAGTAGTTCCTTTTATAAGCAGCCCAGGAGGTGGGGCTGGGAAAGTCCAGAGTAAAGAATTGTCCACTATTGAAGAGAAGAATGACTTGAGGATTTGGGTAGGGGATGGAAGAAGGGATGAGAGTAGTAGAGGAATAAAGAGTAGAAGTATGTATAAAAGCAGAAAGGCATCCCAGAGCTGTGAAGTAATAGAAGCAAAAGCTGTTATAAGGTGAACAGGAATAGTGATTAGTTGTAAGATACCAAATGGTACAGGGAATGTTGTTAGTTTATAAGAGAAAATTAGAGAACAGGTAGACAGGTGGGGTAAAACACTTTAAACCACAGTACAATTCCAGTCATCTTCATCCTTTAGGTTTTTTGTTTTTTTTTTACTAAATCATTATATTTTGCATCTTTAAAACTACAGTCTCTGAGAATGGTGCTTTCCTCAGTCATAGCCTTTTTTCTTTATAGCCGTTGCCATGAAATCCACAATGTATAGTATTTATCCTGCCAACTCTGAAGAAGGTCAGGAACTTTATGTCTGCACAGTCAAGGATGATGTGAACTTGGATACAGTGCTTCTCCCACCCTTTTTGAAAGGTAAGTCCCTTGAAGACCTCAAGTGAACCAATTACAGATATCATTGCAATTTGTAATTTGCTGGGTGGTTGAGTATAGGTCTCTGATTATCATCCTGGCTTCATTTCTTCTGATAAAGAAATCTACCTTCTAGAAATAAGTTCTGGCATTGACTGAAGAGCTCTTTGAAGACTTGTAATGTTACTTGATTAAGCTTTTACTTAAGTGAGCTCATTGTTCTCTTTGGGACTGGCTGATGACCTGGAAAAGTTTTCCAATTATTTAATAAAAAATAGGTCCTGAGTTTCCCTTTGTACATATTCTTTTTTCAGAGTAGACAGTAAGCAAATGAGATAATGTTGCTGAGATTTAAGAAAATCCATGGTGTTAGTGAAGATACAATGTTATGCACATAGCAAGAGTTTAATAAAAAAAAGAGTGCAAAGTAGAATGACTGATGCCATAAAGAATAAAGAAGCCATCAGAATCGGGTAGGCATAGTTGGAGAGGGGGTGTTCTTCTTAGAAATGAATTGTTTCTTATTTTCATATTTTATTCAAGTGTCTGGTGGGCAAGGTACTAATACTTGAGGAATATTGTGATGAACAAGCATACCTTCAAGTATAGTATGGTCTTGTTGAGAAAATAAGACACAGACATGAAACAGCAGTACAGCACACCATGGTAGGTAAGGGCCAGAGCTCTAGAGTCAGAAAACCCGGGGCACCATGGGCTCCTGCACTTACTGGCTATGGAACTTTGAATAAGTTAGTCAACTTCTCACTCATCAGTCAAATGAAGATAATAATAGTTCCTACCTCATGGGGCTAGTTGAGGATTAAATGAAATAAATTATGACATATAATAAATATTCCATGACTGTTAACTATTACATTGTAAGCTCTTTACTCTGGAGGTTTTAGGTTCAACAGAGACAGTTTACAATGATACAACTATGATAGACCATACTTGGCAATGGCTTTCCTTACTTAGAAGGAAATACAGCATGCTAACAGGACAGCAGAAGGTACTTTTCTTCAGTGAAAGTTTTCACAGCAGTTTACCTAGCATTCCAGGGGCTAATCTCTGGAGCCTCAAGTAATAGCTCAGCTATGGTGAATGAAACCATGACTCATGGGTGCTTAGAGGACCAACTAAAGGCTTCATCTCCTATAATGGTCCAAACAGGCATCACTTTCAGGCTCTGCAAGGGGCATGGCCTATTACAAGAATTACTGTACCCAAGGAAACCCAAATCTGTGGCTTACCGCAAGTTAATTCAGTTTTCCCAGTCCAAATTCAGTTTCCCAATTAGAGGTTATCCTTAGCATAAGCAATGTTACCTGGTAACACAGCTGATATTCTAAGTGTTCCTAGGAAACAGCTAGAAAATAAACCCAAGGTAAACATTTTCAGGTAAGGAAAAAGGGCTTGTGAATTCACAAACTAAAATGAGTAGCTCAAAAACCCTTGGTCAAGATAAAAGGCCAAAGCTACATTGTGAAAGCCCATATATAAGTTGTAAAAGTGCTTAAGAAGGGGACTAGCATGATTATATTTGTACCTTAGATATATAATTCTGCTACCAGTTAATATATTATTGGAATAAGAATGGGAGGAAATTAGAGATGTACAAAACAGGGTATTGTAATGATCCAGATGAAAAAGAGTATTTGTACTAACATTGTTTAGGAAAAAACATACTCAAAAGAATGAGTGAGTAACCATTAGGTTGTGACAGAAAGGAAAAAAGTTAGAATTATCTTAACGTTTGGGGCTTGGTGAATACTAATTTAATACTAATATTTATGTTACAATGTAGAGAGATATATTGAATGGCTTGAAGTTAAGGTATTTACAGTTATCAGAGATCTGAGACAGGAAGCCTGACCTACATGTTTAGTTGAAAATAAGAAGAAAAGGTTCTGGATACTAATAGGTCAAGCAAATGGGAAGCATTACTGTAGCTGAGTGATGAGTTTTCGGTCTACTGAAAAAAGCTTTTGGTGACCATGGGAGAACAGCTTTAGTAGCGTAGTAAAAACCTAACTGTTGTTGGTAGAGCAATGAATGGAAAATGAAGACATAGCTATAAGGCTCTTGCAAGAAGTTTGACTAAGTGGAGAAGGGCAGATTGAGGTGGGGGCATTAGAGAGGGGTAGGTGAAAAGCATATCTTTTTTTAAAAGGCACAGATTTTCAACATGATGTATTCTAGATTTGTGGAAATCTTGTTCATTGCTGATTGACTGATTAATTTTGGCAGAAATAGCAGTAAGCCAACTTGATCAACTGAGCCCAGAGGAACAGCTGCTGGTCAAATGTGCTGCCATCATTGGTCACTCCTTCCATACAGATCTGTTGCAGCACCTCCTGCCTGGCTGGGATAAAAATAAGCTACTTCAGGTGTTGAGAGCTCTTGTGGATATACATGTGCTCTGCTGGTCTGAGAGGAGCCAAGAGCCTCCGAATGAGCCCATATTAGTGCCTTCCTCTATCAACATCACTGATCAAACCAAAGAGAAGACAAAGTTAGGTAAGGAAGGGCTGTTCCCTTTTTCTCAGATCTGAACAAAGAGTCCCTATGGGGGTATCTGTGTTCAGAAAGACCATCAATAGCGTATATCAAGGGGTTCTCTAATTTGTTTGTTTAAAGATGGTGTTTTGTTATGTTGCCCAGGTTGTAATTCTTGGGCTCAACAGGTGCATACCATCACCCCGTTTGAGGGCATCTCTCTCAAAGCCTATGACTAAGAAACAAAGAGAAAATTATCATTTAAACCATGGAGACATGGATATAGTGAAAAATTTATATGCTGTATTTTTCAGACTTGTCTTCATTTCAGAAATTCTAGCTCTTTGTTAACCCAGGTGTTAGTATTTTGTTTTGATTTTTGTTCAGAAAATATTGACATAATCTTTTATTGGATTCTAGGTGCAAAGCATGAGATAAAAGGATAAACCATCCCCAATTTCAGAAACTCACAAGGAAGACAAACATATGTGGTGTTGAAACAGACTCATGTCTTGAACTTTCCACCTGAAAAAATAAAATTGTAGCATGGACTATCCAAAGCACATATAATTTTCCTTTGACTTTGAAATATGTTTGGACCCTATATTTAAACAGAGCATTCCCTATGATTTAACATTTATAATAATTTGAAGTAAAATCTCTATTTGGGAGAAACTATTATTAAATCAGTGGTATATTTTTGTACCGTTGATCATTTCTCCTCTGTTATACTTTATACTAGACATGGTCAATATCAATCTCAGAATAATGCAAACATTTGTATACAAAGGAGGCAGTAATATCACCCTAAATTTACAAATAGAATTTTCTTCTACCCTAGCAGCCATGTGCTTGGGAGTTTGCCATATTGAAGCTCAAAAAGTTTATAAGGGAAAATCTCACTTAGATTTTCCTAAATTTCAGGTGGTGATTCAGCCTCTTTTCTCACACTACAAGAAGAATTATCCCTACCTCAAACTGAGGTGTTGGAATTTGGAGTGCCTCTACTACGGGAAGCTGCTTGGGAGCTCTGTACCAAGGAACAACAGATAGCTCTGCACCTTGAATGTGCCTGCTTTCTCCAAGACTTGGCCTGCCGCTGTGGGAGCTGCCATGGAGGAGACTTTGTCCCTTTTCATCGTTTTGCAGTTTGTTCTACTAAGAGTTCCAAGGGGACCTCTGGATTCTGTACTTACAGAGGTGCTGGCTCAGTGCTAACACAAGTGATCACAGACAAATTGCAGCTGCCTTCTCCCCAAGGTAAACCCAGGAGGCAAAAAGAGGATATATTGGTATTCATGTATGTGGAGTTCTTCATCAAAAAGTTGAAACCAGATTAAGGGAGAAAAGTAGATAGAAAGAATCACTTATTTATTCCTGAAGTACTAGAGATTAAAAAAAAATGTAATCTAAGAATTAAAAGCAACATTAGAGATCATATTTGTTTTGGTTGGCAATCTTGGGCAACTTACTTAACCTCAATCAATTGGGGACAGTAATAATATCAACTTCATGGGCTCGGTGTGGTGGCTCATGCCTGTAATCCTAGCATTTTGAGAGGCTGAGGCAGGTGGATTGCTTGAGGTCAGGAGTTCAAAAGCAGCCTAGCCAACATGGTGAAACTCCACCTCTACTAAAAACATAAAATAGCCCAGTGTGCTTGTGTGCACCTGTAGTCTCAGCTACTCAGGAGACTGAGGCACGATATTCGCTTGAACCTGGGAGATGGAGGTTGCAGTGAGCCGAGATTGCACCACTGCACTCTAGCCTGGGCGACAGAGTGAGACTCTCTCTCAAAAAAATTAATTAATTAATAATAACAATACCAATTTTACTGGGTCATTGTGGGGATTAAATTAGTTAATGTAGTATGCTCTGAACAGTGCTAGACATATGGTGAGTGCTCAATACACTTTAGCTATCGTTTTGGTAATTACTATTATTTTTCAGCTCAGTAGAGCTGAAAAAATATTTTCAACTCATATTGAGTCCTTGTGTGTATCAGATTCTGTGCTAAGGAATATGATGTGAATAAGCCTTGGTCTTTGCACTCCTGAAGCTATCTGTTTGGGGGTTACTAGAGACAGAGAGATAGAGAATTCTAGTATGGCATGGTAAAAGCAATGAAAATGAGAAGGGGCCCTTAACTCAGCCAGGGAAATACGTCGGTGAAGACTCTCCTTTGAAGTAGATCATGTCAGAATTGTGTCTTGAGGGATAAGGAGGAGTTAGATACCTGAAGAAGGTTTTAATAGCGAATAGATGTTCACCACAGCCTGATAAACTGTATCCCAGATGAGTTCATTCATCTTTGTTTTAACCTTTTCAGTCAGCTTACCATACAGAACAACTCATTGCCTCCAGCTGTCAGAAAGTTTCTTCTTTCATAAGCATGTAAGCTGCCTCCTTTCAGCTTCACCTATGTTCCATAATTATACCCTCTTCCATACCTGACGATAGCTATCAAGACCCAACCAGATCCTCTCCCTACTTTGGTAAAAGAGGAGTACTGGGGGTGGGGTGATGGTATGTGGAAAATGATAGATAGTTGCTGGCAAAGGGCTAAAATGAGGGATTTGGTGTATGATCCTAATTCCTCTTCTAGCTATAACATCACAACTATGAAGGTAGACCAATGACTTGGAGCAATTAGTCGTTGGTTGCTGAGCTCTATGGGCTTTTGCACCTTTTGTGCTTTCCAGAGTCTAGTATTATGAAGAAATTGTGCTATTGTTCATATTTCCTGTGTGACTTTTTGTTTTTGACAGTTTTTTTGCTTTGGATTAGACAGCCTGGTCCATCTATAGGAAAAAGGCTCAAGACCTTCTCAGCCCAGCAGAACCCTGAGGAGGCTTCCCAGACCTGAGGCCTTTGTGCATAGCCATTACATAGCAGGCACTGTCTGACTCCAGAGGGTACTATTACAGAGGCTATGATATGATGGTGCCTCTTGGAGTTGTGTACTGCAGTAGGGCTGCCAGTATCCTCTGTTATCTTAGCTGTGACTTAACATCATTATCATCAGAAAGCCAGTCCTTTTACTTAACCCAAATCCTCTCCAGAACAGTTCTCTTAGACTCCTTATCAATCCCACCATCCATGCTGTTAGTTCCAGTGGGTAACATCTCAACATCATTTCTAACAGTTGCTGTTGTGATCTATTAGAAGGCAGCCTCAAAGTAAGAGTCAAATCTGTAGGATAAAAAGGTTATTTAAAGGCCTGCTAGGTAAAGCTGGAAAGCTCTCTTGGTCACTGACTAGGGAAGTGTGGTATCTTGTACTATCACAATTTTCTTCACTTGGTTTTAGCCTATACAGTTCATTTTGATCTGGTCATGAACCTGATCCATACATATTCAGGGATTTCTACTATTAGAAATAGCCAGCAAACCAGGATGGACACATTCTTTATTTTTCCTTCATTTTGAAAACACTGAGTGCATCTTTCAAAAACAGAACTCATTTGAAAGTTTGGGAATGAAGAGAGTTACTATTTGAATCACAAGCAGTTGTGAAGGAATTTACAAAATACCATCTTAATTTTGTGTTATAAACTGCAGAGGAAAGGTAGTCAGGAATTTAAAATGTCCTCAGTTCATCCAAACATGGAGAATTAATCATATTTTTTTCTCCCTACAGATAGTTTTCAGTTCCAGATGAAACCATCCAGAACTCAGGATGCCTTCTCAAATGAATGCTGCAGGTAGACAGAGATGCTCAGGGTGAACATGGAGGGGCCAAAAGTGACAGAAAGATGACCATTAAACTGAGCCACTTATGTCAGTTGCAGGTGGGCTGTCATGACTCTTATACTCAGCCCAGGATTCAGGTTAACAGAGAAGATTTGGAAAGGCAATTTTTGATTCTTTATAGGAAAGTTATTTCCTAATGGTTGAGAAAAACTTTCTTTAATACCTTTTTGTTTGTTTGTTTTGAGACAGAGTCTTGCTCTGTTGCCCAGGCTAGAGTGCAGTAGCATGATCTCAGCTCACTGCAACCTCCACCTCCTGGGTTCAAGCAATTCTCCTGCCTCAGCCTCCCAAGTAGCTGGAATTACAGGCACACCCCACCAGGCTTGGCTAATTTTTGTATTTTTAGTAGCAGCATGATTTCACCATGTTGGCCAGGCTGATCTTGAACTCCTGACCTCAAGTGATCCACCCACCTTGGCCTCCCAAAGTGCTGGGATTACAGGCATGAGCCATCGTACCCAGCCTTTTAATAGCTTTTAAATTCATTTTATAAGTAGCATATTTTTTTCCAGCTAGAAATTTGTCTTCTCAATTCTTTTTACCCCAGAGGATACTAAAATGAATATACATTTCCTAACCATGTACTTCCTGGGTCTCTGATGTTTATCAGTGTTCGATGTTCCTACCTAGAGCTCAGCAGCCACTCTACATACAGTTTTTCATCCCACTTATTTAATTTGATTTCTTACTATTTTCAAACAAAAATCCATTCTACATGAACCACCCCCACACTAACCTGTATGTCTTTGTTCACACAATTCTCCCTTGTTAAATGCTGAGTGACCTCTACATCTCACCAGCCTTCAAGGCCCTCCTCAGTCTCCACTTTGTTTAGATTATTATAGCTCAGAGAGGTCTGACTTTTGAGCTCAGCATGCCTGTGAAAAGTGCACTAGATTAGTAGTCAGAGAGTTAAGCTCTAGTTTTGGTTCTACTTCTCAGTAGCTATGAAGCCATATGTAATCTCTTGGAGTCCCAATGACCTAAAGGAGATAATTCTTGTCTGCCTGAATGACAGGGTTGTTATAGGATAAAATGTGGTATTAGAAAATGCAAATATGCTAACAGAAAAAAAATGTATCATTATTTATTGCCTTGTATCATTTTTTATGTTTAATTTAACATTTAGATTATTTAACTATTCAAGCGTGGTATTTCCCCATTTAGATTGAGGTATTTAGATTGGATTTCAGGTTTTAAAAATTCCTAATAGAGCTTTGCAGTTATAGCTCTGGTTCCTGACTTTTACATTTTTATGGAGTAATGGAGAAGGATAGACAAAGAATTAATGAATGATACCAGAAAGCTTCCTGGAAAAGGTGACTTTGAGACCTGGTAATGCCCAAATAAAGGTTGCCATTCTCAGTTATTCGTTTTCTTTCCACAAAGAACAGAGGAAGAGTTCCTAGATCAAGTGAAGAGGAAGCTGGCTCAGACCAGCCCTGAGACAGACCTGTTGACCACAAAGCCTTGTCACTGTAAGGATATCCTGGAGTTAGTGCTCTCACCCCTCACCCAGCATTGCTTGGTCATTGGAGAAACCACCTGTGCATTTTATTACCTGCTAGAGGCTGCAGCTGCCTCCTTGGACCTGTCAGATAGTCACATGGTGAGCAGGTTCTGCAATCCACCCTTCAGCTGAGCCTTTTACTGAGCATTTGATTGAGATTTCTTAACATCATAACCATGAGTGAAAAGTGGAAGAAAGTAGGAGAGGGAGAAGAGCTGGAAAGAAGGCAGGAAAAAAAATGAAGTGGGAATGTGGTAGCGGAATAGCACCAACCCATGTCAGCACTGCCCCCGACTCTTGCACAAGCAGTCCAGCTCCTGTTTCTAGCTTGAAATCCAAATTGTATTCAAATTCTGATTTTGACTCTCGTCATAACCTTACTCCAGCCTTTGCCCTAATCTCACTCCAGCATCATCCTAATCCTAATTCAGTTTCTTTATCCCTTGCCCTGTTTGTAGGCCTTCTTTTATTTGAGGAAGGCAAGCAGTCTTCTGGGCCAACCCTCAGCATTTTCATTTTTGAAAAAACACAAGGCGAAGATCTGTCAGTTTGAGGAGGCCACTTTCTGCTGTTTTCTGTCAGAGGTGAGGGCAGAGGGTGACCTTGAAGTGCTGGCTATTTCTCCTTGAGGGTTACCTTATTATTTCTTTTAAAATCATTTTGTGTTTTTATGTACGATTGTAAATGTGATAATGTGATAAAAGGTTATACACATTTAAAACGTTCATACACATTCTCAGCAAACTAACACAAGAATGGAAAACCAAACACCATGTGTTCTCACTCATAAGTGGGAGTTGAACAATGAGAACACATGGTCACAGGGAGGGGAACATCACACACTGGAACCTGTTGGGGGCTGGGGGGCGAGGAGAGGGATAGCATTAGGAGAAATACCTAATGTAGATGACGGGTTGATGAGTGTAGCAAACCATCATGGCATGTGTATACCTATATAACAAACCCTTACATTTTGCATATGTACCCCAGAACTAAAAGTATAATAAAGAGAATAATAAATAAAATATGGAAATATATAATAGGTAGAAAGTGAAAGAGCTCCCACTAATCCTACTCCCTGTACCATAATTAATAATTGTATGCATGTTCCACCAACTGTACACACACAGCTATATCATTATTGTTTTCCATTATTTTTCATAGGATCATATTCTACATTTTCTTGTTCTTGCAGCTTGCATTTATTCTTAATAGTTCAGATTGAACATGTTTACATATTGGTGTGCATACTGTTCCACCACATAGTTACAACTACCAAGTACTCCATTGGCTAGATCATAGCTTAGCTACTCCCTTCTTCAGGTGCATTTTGGTTATCTCTAATTTGGAGGTTATTATTAACATTACTATAGTGACTATTCTTCTTAAATATCTCTTTCTCCCCTTGTGAGAGTGTTTTCTGTAAGAGAAATTTTCAAAGGTGGAAATATTAAGGCACAATTTTAAAATTAATAAATACATCACCAAATTGCCAACCAAAAATATTATATTAACTCAAGTTTTTCCCACTTCTTCATATCCTTAATAACATCAGTTACTATCAGTCTTTTCTAACCTTGCTAATTCCCAGACAAAGTTACATTGTTTTAATGTTTCTCTTAATTAAGATACATCATTCTTCTATGTTTATTTGTCATTTATATTTCTTTGTGAATTATCCATTTATGTTCATTGAAGTAGATATAAGATAATTTTCTCATTGGAGGATATGTAAACTAATTTTAATGTAAACCGTAAGATAATTTGGTTAGGAGAGTAAACTTAATGTACATAATGTCTTGAAAGACAAAGGAAATATTAGAGCTGTCACGTTGAATTATTTATGTTTCAACCAAGAGGTCTTCAGAGCAAAGTTAAATAATTATTCTTTCCCTTTATAAGAGAAAGTTATTGTACAGTCCTCCCAAGATTGTTCTAGAATCATGTAGACTTTATCACTTTCTTGAGGAATTCAGCCTTAGAATGTGAAGATACTGGATAACTTCAAGGTAGTTCCCCAGCTCCCATTCCACATCTACTATGGTTCAACCTGTTTAGGAAGGAGAGAGAAAGGATTTGGTGATATTATAGATGCTTTCCATGCCATGTGAGAGCATCTGGGTCTCCACTCAAATGATGATGCCATCTCAGTCTAGCAACATCGTATTTTAAATCACAGCCTTCCTCTACTGCCCACTGACAAATGTGCGGGAGATGAGAAAGGAGGATGCTTTTGCCATAATCCTATTTTCTCAACCCTTTACTTGCTTTTTGCCATACTGATGCTTGTTAGTGTGACTGCTAACCAGGCTGTGCTCTAGCTCAGCTCACTCTAGCACCTCAGAGCATAGCCTGGTTGGTAGTCACACTAACAAGGACCTCAATTACCCCAATTACACATCTCAAAAGAGCCAGTGTGTTATATCCAAAACCTTATATTTACATTACTTCTTCTTGTTTTCCCATCTCCAGGTCTGTTTCAGCATGGGACACATTACTTTAGCCAAAAAATTGGCTAGGAAAGCCCTTCTACTGCTGAAAAGGAATTTCCCTCAGACCTGGTTTGGTGTCCTTTTCCAGATATTCCTGGAAAAGTATTGGCATTCCTGTTCCCCAAGCCAACCTCCAAATAATCCTAGTGAGAGGTGAGAAGGCTCCCTAAAACTGTAGTTAACTGGCCTGAGCTTTGCCTTTTTTTTTTTTTTTACCTAAAACTACTCTTTTACAATCAAGTAATCTTCAAGTATCTAACAGGCAAGCAGATAAAAAGACATACAACAGTCAGCATACATATATGTGCATGTAACAGATAAGTGTATAACATACAGTTCTCACTCTTCCATCTTACTCCCCCAGCCAATTACATGTAACAAATAGGGATTCAAAGAAAGAATCTTTTTTTGAAACCTCTCTCTGAACTTTTCTTGATCAAGAGAGACTAATTAAAATGGCATATGAGGTTAGGAGTAGTGGGATCCAAGAACTGTTTCCGCATTTGGACATCTGTAGATGGCCCCATGATAAGTATACTTGGAGCTTTTATGGGGAGGGAAGGTTGGGCATTAGTAAAGAATAAGGGTGTGCTAACCACCCTGTGCCTCAAAACAGTAAGAAGAAGTTGGCAGTCCTGCAGCAGCAGGTGCATTGCCTCTCCCTACTCTGGCAGCTCTATAACCTGGAGACCACAGCCAGTAGCTGCAGGTTTGCTTGCCTCGCTACTCTCATGCAGAAAAATTCAGCCGAGGAGCTTGCAAATGAAGCCCAGGTAAGCAAGTCCTTGCTTTACCTTTGGATCTCACTTAGAAACCTCAAGTGCTGTGGAGAAAGAGCCTGCCAAGTTCCTGGTTTTAGCATGGTTCCACAATAACCCAGACTTAACTGGACAACACTGATCATGTGTTCAAGCGAGGTTTCTTAATTTGCAGTTTATAGATGGGTTTCCAGGTATGAGATTATCTGTGAACTCTCTGAACTGAATGCAGAATTTTATGTGTATATTCAAAAGAACCTTTGGGGGCTGGCAGGAGGAAGAAAAGGGGTCATAGCTTTCATCAGATTCTCAAAGAAGCCTGTGATCTAAAAAAAGGATTTGAAACTGCTGATTTAGGAAAAAAAACAAAAGAAAATGTGTCTTCCTAATTTTAGTGTCTTATCTTTCTGTCTTATCCACATATGCAATAGCAAACTATTTGGTGAACACCTCTTATATGCCAGGCACTGATCTTGACTCCAGGGAAATATAATAAGTAATATATACAGCATATTGGGTGATAATCAATGCAGTAGAGAAAATTAAGTGGAGACAAGGGGATATGGGATTCTGTGAGGTGAAGGATGGGGTATCGTTTTGAATAAGGTGGTCAGAGAAAGCTTTACTGAGAAGGTGACATGAGTAAATATCTGAAGGAGGCAAGAAAGCCGGGCTGTCTGTGAGTAGAGTATTCAGGCAGAAAGCACAGTAAATGCCCAAGGCATACCCTCTGTGTTTGAAGGACAGCGTGACTGGAGGGGAGGAAGAGGAAGCGAGTGAGCCAAGAGATGAGGTCAGAAAGACTGGGAAGGGGTGGGATAGCAAATGTTGCAGACCTTAGATAGGCCACGGTAGGAGTTTTGGCTTTTACTCTGAAAGAGATGGGAAGCCATTAATGGGTTCTGAGAAGAGGAGTGATAGGATCTACTTATATTTTAATTAGATCATCTGTCTACTGTATTGAAAGTGTCCTGAAGGGGACAAGGAAGGAAGCAGGGAGACCAGTTAGGAGGCTATTGCAGTAATATAAGCAAGAGATGGTGGTGGCTTGGATTATTGTGGTGGAAAAATAAGTTGAGGGTGGTCTTTTGTCAAAATAGAGCCAACAGGATTCACTCATGGATCAGTTCTGGGATGTGAAGGAAAGAGTCAAGGATAATCCCAAAAGTTGTTAGTTGAACTTACAGAGGGATAGAGATGCTCTTAATTGGGATAGGGACATCTACAGGAAGAACAGATTTGGAGAAAGATTTGGGAGCTAGGCTTTGGAAATGCTTTATTTTAGATGCCTATTGGACATCCAGGTGGAGATGAGTCTGGTTAATACGAGTCCAGGTGAATACACAAGTCTGGGGTTCATGGGAGAGGTCTGAGCTGGAAATAGACATGTGGGAACCATTAGTGTGCAAATACTATTTAAAGCCATAGGACTGGGTGAGAACACCAAGGGAATGAGTATAGAAAAGAAAAAAGGTCCGAGGACTTTGTTAACAACCCCAGTATTAAAAGGTCAGAGTGGTGAGGAGAAATCAACAAAAGAAATTGAGAATAAGTTGCCAGGGAGACAAAACCAAGAGAGCATGACATCCTGGAAAGCTAGGAAAGAGTGTTCCAAGAAGAGAACACTATGTCAAATGTGCATGTAGTCATATAGAAATCTAGGCAGCAGCCCTGAAGAGCTCTACAGAGCAAATATCAGAGGTCTTAAATTAGAGAAGACAAAGTAGTTTAATCATTGTTTTGAAGGGGAAAGTCATGGATTAGAGAGGAAAGGCAGAAGCATGTAGAGAAATTGGTTTGTTTAAAGACAGGCAGTGAGAATGATTCAATTAGAACTGCAGGGGTGAGAAGGAGCATATTTTTCCAGCTGGGTTGGAGGCAAGTGGTAGGGATACCAGGAGTTCAGACTGAGTGAGCAGCAAGGCACTATAATAGGCTCTTACAGAGGAAAGGAACAATATGGAAATGTCACGTGAATGTACAATGGGAATATTTTGCGCTGTGTTTGTTCTCCTGCAGGTTGTCTCTACCTATGTGGACCTCTCAGTTTTCCCAGACCATGGGCAACAAGGAGAAGTGGCTGCACTATGAGCAAATGGCCATTCAAAAAAGCAGTTTATGTTGATTCTTCAGGGAGGGATTGTTGGCCACAGCTCAGCTCATGCAGGCCCTTGCCTACACCAAGCTCTGCCTTGGCCACCTTGACTTCTCCATCAAGTTGGCTAATGGGACTTAGAGCTGGTGAGTCTAGGGCTTTTAGAGAGTACATGTTCACAGCTAGACCTCACACAGTGCTCTTGAACCTCCTCAGGTTTTCAAGCTCATGAGATATGCAGATACCTCAAGAAACCAGCTCTGGAGAATCTGGTCCTCTCAGTTCTCTTCAGATCTGCATTTCTGAAGAAGTATTAAGATCATTTTCTGTCATTTGTATTTGTTTTCTAAGAGGGGTGTGTATATTTTCCCAGAGAAGTTTGGAATGGAGAGGGAGATGCTGTTCTATTTCCACACCTGGGGATATCTTTCCCTTGGCCACTGCAGAAGCAGTATCTTAAGTGTGGAACAGTCAGGAGTGGAAATGCAGTCAGAGCTGCTATATATTCCTCAGTACTTGGGGCTCATGGACAACTTTTCTTCAAAAAAAATTCTGCGGGGAGATAGAAAACTGCAGCAGCTCAAGACCCTGGAAATTGCCTCAGAGGCAAATTCCCACCTCCTTTGCCTAAAGATGGGTCTGATCCCAGGCACAGATGTTCTCTATATAAATAGAGCTGTGAAGAGGAGATCTAGGAGTTGTTAGGCTGCTTTTAGGGTGTAAGACCCCTTCCTTTCCTACCCATCCCTCTTACTCCCTAGCTGGTCCCAGTGGCTCTGTCTCTTGGCACATTTGGTCTGTGTGTCCATGTGCTGGAGAGTCAGTGGGCACTCATTTCCCAGGGTTATGATGTCCTTGGCCTGGTCTGCTTTCATTCTGCTTGCTTAGATCTGCTGCTCTACAGAAAAGGTAAATCTTGCACAGGTCTCTGCTGTACTCCTGAGGGATTCAGACCTCAGATAGGGCTCTAGGTTTGGAATACAGGCAGTCATGAACCTGTCCCTCAGGCATGTTCTCTGCCTCTGACCTCTGGCTCCTTAAAGTCTGGGAACCATGCTGTGATTCAGGGGTGTCTGCCTTTGGGGTCTTGTTTCCTTCCCTGTATCACACACCTTCTGTACCCTAGTTCCTACACTGACAATATATGCTAGCCTCGTTACCTTCTGTGTTCACAGGATTGCTATGTCGGCCCTTTAGTGAGTGTCTGCATTTCGTTCAAATCTATGAGCACAGCTGTGTTCTAATCTCTCAGAGCAACATCATGCTGGGAGTCCATTCCTCCCTGGGCATGTGGTAATGTCTTACTCAAGGGCTGTGGGAAAGGATAGGCATTTAAGTCATTTAAGCTATCTCTCCCCACCAGGCAGGACTGTTGAATATCTCTAACCAACTTTTAAAGCCCATATACCTCCCATTCCCTCCTATCTTATTAGAAGGGCTCTTGTCCTTTAACAGGTTTTGGCCTATAGGTCAAGGGTTAAGTTTAGGTTTACATTTAAGTGCTAGAGTAACCCATAACAAGGCTGAATATAACTGGTCTCCTTTTAAGTTTCTTTGTATGTGAGTTAATAGCCTTGGTCACTTCCTTGTATGTGAGTTAATAGCCTTGGTCACTTTCTAACATCACTGCACTTCTGACTGTCCAGGAGGTCTTAGAGCCTTAAAGAAGTGACAATTTTAAGCAAAAGCCGTGGTTGGTAAGCAGTGGATATTGCTGAGAGCTGTTACTCTTTTCCTCCAGGTTTGCCCAGGAGTCACAATGGGACCTCTTTGAGCACTATTTTTCTAAGTCGTGCCAGTTGGTGAAAAGAACCAATGCCTCACTATTTGGTGCTCATGGCTTTGTCCGATTCCTAGAGTGCCATGTGTTAATGTTACAGAAAATGCCAGAGGGTATCTTCATGCATATTCCCCTAGAGCTTCGCAGCCAAACGCTCGAGGTACCTGTTTCTCAGCTGCCCTTCAACTCACACCTAACTCCCTTAGTTCTACCCTATGATGCTCTTTCTGCCACCGGAATCTCTTCCTTACTTTCCCTTTTACTGGCTCTGACTCCCTTTACTCTGAATCCTTTGTTTCTCCACATAGAAAGTTTCCACCTACCTTATGTATCCTTCCAGATATTATTGCATCTAGGTCTGGACTGGGTTTCTTAACTTTCCACCTTTGCCAGCTACTACTCAGTATCATTAAAATATTAACATTTAGCCCTGCTCAGTGAACCTATACTCTATGGTTCAGTCTATAATTTGACACATCTACCTACAGCCCTTCTGAGTCTAGAACACATTCCAGTTCCTCTGTATCCCCAAGTCAGTTTTCCAGGCCCACTTTGCCATCAGTAACTCCTCCCTGTTACCCTAGTCATGAGTGAATACGTTGAATGAGGACCTTTGTAAGTTCTGATGAAGTGGCATGTTAGGAAAATGAAGCACTAATCCCAGAGCTAATGTACCTTCTTTTCCTTTCAGTACTTTAAAGAGTTCTTCTCTCGATGTGTGACCTGCCCTGTCTACCACCAGTGAGTATCTGAGCTTAAGGCCTCTGCAATGAGTTGTGAAAAGAGAGAATTCATGTCCCTGACTAAGAGCGTCAGGCCTTTTGATACCTGCTTCACCAGGATTTGGATAAAAGGAGACTTTCTGGAGGAAGATAACTCTTAGAAATTTAGGAATACAGAGTAAGCAATTCTTCCTGGAACCCTTGTGTGAGAGACATAGAGACTGTCTTAGATTCTTACTCACAAGTAGTCAAAGGCTGCACCTCCGAAGTAAAAAGGGACACACAGATATAAGGAGTTAGTCCTTGCTCTAGAGGTAAGTATAGTCCTCTTCCTAGTGCTAGACCCTGCCTGGACAAACAGGAATACCTCACTATTATTAAACAGCAATGTCTTCAGCTTCTCTCAGCCCTTTGTTTCAGCATTGGTAACCCTTAGGCATAGAAAGTTCTTTGCTCTTAGGCAAAGCAATTGGGTTGTTTCCTTGAAGTAACTGGATGGTCACTAAGGAGAGAAAAAGGCCTTAGAAGTCACAATATAATGTCTATGAAGGTGAATGGTAAGATTAGGCAAGAAAAGGACAGGAAAGAATGTATTTCCTTTACTCATAGCCCTGCAAATCTCCTTTCCCAGGGCTGCTAGTTAAATTTGTCATTGCTGAGGGCATTCTTTGTATTTGTGACGTTCTTTATGTTCCTTCTCTCAGGATTTGACAGAGTGGATGATGTCAAGGAGAGAAGGATGCAAAAGAAACTCAAGATGTATGTGTTAAAACAGAAAAAACAATAATCTGAAGGGACCATGATTCTTTTATTGTATATAACATAAGGAAATGCCCCCAAATTCTCCTTTTAAAGCTATAGTGTACATATTAAGTATCCTAGCCTTTACAGTTACTGCTATTTATATCTTTATCCAAATAAAAGCCTATGTTTTCTGAAACATACTACTTAGATCTTTTTTTTTTTTTTTAAACTCTTATCAGTCATTAGCACAACTCTACCAGAAGTTAAAACCAGGAGTAGCTGGGAGGCTGGAAGGCCTTAAGATGCACTGATTCCATCTTTTATAAGATGGGATCCATTAGCAGATGAACAACTATGACCCTAATGAAGTTGTTATTACTTAAGGAAGGCTGGCAGTACGAGTGCCTTGGTGTTGCCCTCTTTTGGCACAGATATGGTAATGGGCTCCTAAAAAGTCAAGGAGTCTTTTCAGAGGTTCAAAGGGCTGTGGGAATTCATTTCTCCTTAGTGCGATGTGATTTGGGCATTTCCAGGTGAAATTGTGAAGTTGCCAGAGTATGTATAACTTAGCTTTCTTCCTTTTTCTCCTATTTGGAGTTGCTATCTTTGGCCTTTATCTGTTTGATGGCCTTTCTTCCACTGAGTATGATCTTTCCATTGGCTTCTTATGCTTTATAACGCAATCATCTAGTGTCCAGAGTGAATTTGCTAATGTTATGATAGTTGCAATTCGTTATTCACTTACTTGTGCTTGAAATACGTTGTTTAAATCCTCAATCGACTCTGTGAAGCAAGTACCCATATTACAGATAAAGAAATGGAAGCCTGGGAAGAGTTTACCCCAACAAACACAGCCGCAAAATGGTACAGCTGAGCTTCTAACTCAGATGTGATTCCAGAGATTATGCTAGGCTATGCAGGCTTTCATGGGAACTAGGCTTTCCTATACCCAGTGTTCACTGTTCTCTTCAAATGGCCAAGATCAGAACTTTAAGGACAAGAAGGGAGATGTTTATGAAAGGGAGGCCTGTACTTGCCCTTTAAATCATGCAATCTAATCTATACATTTCCTCCTTCCACTTTTCTCCCTCTGGGTACCTTTCTTTTTCCTGTCCCTCTATTCCCTCCATCTTCTCCCTTGCATTCCTCCCATCTTACTTCCTCCTTTCTTTCTTCTCACTCACGTTCCCCTCTGTCCTCCTCCCTCATTCCTTTAAATTTCTGGGAGGTAATATAGCATAGCAGTCCAGACAACGACTCTGGAACCAGATAGGCTGGGTTGAAATTCTAACTCTACTGCTTAATAGCTGCATTCATTTGGGCATATAATTTCTTTTCTATATGCCTCAGTTTCCTTTTCTGTAGATGGAGATAAAATATCCTTTTGTCCTAAAAATAGGACAAAAGACTGTCATTATGAAGATTAAATGACTATAAAGCACCTGGCACATAGTAAGCACTCAATGACTGGTAGCTATTATTATTGGTTCAGCTTTTATAATTAAAAATAGATGTTACATTTATGTGGTACAAAATTCAAAAGAAACAAGTCTGTAACAGTGAAAAACTCTCTCTCATCTCTGTCTTCCAGATACCAGTTGCCCTCCTCAGAGGTAATTAATGTTACCACATCCTTGTGTATCCTAGCAAAATTATTCTATGCACATGTAAGCAACAGTGTAAAGTTACTGCATCCTTCTTTCCCACAAATAGTGGTGATAGATAATAACACCCTACACTACTGTATCCTTTTTTTTTTTTTTTTTTTCATTCCTTTTTGGCACTTTTTAAAACTGAGATAAAATTCACCCTTTTAAGGTATACAATTCAGTGCTTTATAGTATATTTGTAAGATTGTACAACCATCACCACTCTCTAATTCCAGAACATTTTTATCACCGCAAAAAGGAACTCCGGTCCCATTAGCAGTCACTTCCCATTTCCCCTTCCCTCAATCTTTGTTAACCACTAATATAATTTCTGGCTTTAAAGATTGGCCTATTCTGGACATTTCATTTAAATGGAATTATAATATATGGCCTTTTCTTTCAGTTAGCTTAATGTTTTCAAGGCTCATTTATGGTGTAGGATTACTTCTTATGGCCAGGTAACATTCCAATGTACCACCTTGTAGCACACGATGCCACGTTTTGTTTATCTGTTCATCAGTTGGTGGACATTTAGGTTGTTTCCAGTTTTTAACGATTGCTATAAATAATGCTATGGTAAACATTCATGTACAAGTTTTTGTGTGAACATAGGCTTTCAGTTCTCTTGAGTACATACCTATCTGGGCATTCCCAGGAATTATCAGGTCATACAGAAATTCTGTGTGAGCTTTTTGAGGAACTGTCAAACGTATTCACGAAGGCCACTGTGCCATTTTACGTTTTCACCAGCAATGATTGAGGCTTCCAATTTTCCACAGCCTAGACAACATTTATAGCTATTCCAGTGGGTGTGAAGTAGTATCTTATGATTTTGATTGTATTTCCTTAGTAACTAATGATGTTGAGCATCTTTTCATGAGCCTACTGGACACTAGTATGTCTTCTTGGAGAATGTCTATTCAAATTATATGCCCATTTTTTAGTTGGGGTTTTGCCTTTCATTGCTGAGTTTTATGAGTTTTTAAAATATATCCTGCATGCTAGATCCTTATTGGATTTGATTTGAAAATATTTTCTCCAATTCTGTGATTTGTCGTTCCACTTTCATGATGGAATCATTTTGCAACACAGAAGTTTTTTAGTTTTGATGAAGTCAATGTATGTATATTTTTCTTTGGATCCTTGTGCTTTAAGTGTCATATCTAAGAAACTATCAGCTAATCTGAGCCCACAAAGATTTACTCATGTTTTCTTCTAGGAGAGAAAAATTGACTTTTTTTGTTTTAGCTTTTACATGTAGGTCTTTGATTTATTTTGAGATAATTTTTGTATATCATGTGAGGTCATGTTACAAAATCATGCTTTTGCATGTGGCTATTTAGTTGTTTTTTATTTTTTAAAAAAAACAAACACCATTTGTTTTTTTAAAAAAAATATTCTTTCACTCATTGATTGTCTTGATACCCTTGTTGAAAATCAGTTGATCTTAAATGAATGGGTTTATTTCTGGCCTCTCCATTTATACTACTGGTCTGTATGTCTATCCTTATGCCAGTACCATATGGTCTTGATCACTGCAGCTTTATAGTAAGTTTTACAATTAGGAAGTATAAATCCTTCAATTTTACTCTTCTTTTGCAAGATTTTTTTTTTTTTTGCTATTCTGGGTCCTTTACATTTACATATGAATTTTAGGATTGGCTCATCGATTTCTGCCAAAAGGACAACTGTAATTTTGATAGGGATTGCATCAAATCTATACATTAATTTGGGAAGAATTGCCATCTTAACAATACTAAGTCCTCTGATCCATGAAACTCTGATATCTTTTCCATATATTTAGGTCTTCTTTAATTTCTTTCAATAATGTTTTGTCATTTTAATGTACAAATATTACACTTCTTTTGTTACATTTGTACCTAAATATCATATTCTTCTCGGTACTATTATAAATGGAATTGTTTTCTAAATTTCATTTTTGGATTGTTCATTGTAAGTATACATAAAAATACAACTGATTCTGTGTATATTTATTTTTCTTTTTTTCTCAGACAAGTTAGAGAATGTGTATTGATTTTGCATCCTGAAACTTTGCTGAACTTACTAGCTCTAAGTTTTTTTTTGTAGATTTCTTAAGATTTTACATATGCAAGATCATGTCATCTGAAAATAGATGGTTTTCTTTCTTTCTAATCTGGAATCCTTTTATTTCTTTTCTTTGCCTAATTTCTCTTTCTTAGAACCTTTAGTACAGTGTTGAATAAATGTGGCTAAGAGTGAATATTCCAGTCTTGTTCCCAATCTTGTGGGGGAAACTTTCAGTCTTTCACCTTTAAGTGTGTTATATGCTTTTGATAGATGCCCTTTATCATCTTGAGGAAATTCCCTTCTATTCCTAGTTTGTTAAGTATTTTTGACATGATATGGTGTCAGATTTTGCCAAATGTTTTTTATGCATCTGTGAGGTGACCATGTGGTTTTTGTCCTTTGTTCTGTTAATATGACATAACATCATATTGACTGATTTTTATGTGTGAAATCAATTTTGCATTCCTGGGATAAATCCCACTTTTTCATGGTGTATAATACTTTCTATTTGTCACTGTATTCTATTTGCTAGTATTTTGTTGAAGATTTTTAGATCGCTATTGATAAAGGATGTTGCTTTGTAGTGTTTTGCTTTGTTTTGTTTTCTTCTGATTTCTTTTTCCAGTTTTTGGATTAAGGTAATACTGGGCTCATAGAATGAGTTCGGAAGAATTCCCTTCTCAATTATTTTCTGCAAGAGTTTGTAAAGGGTAGGTTTTAAAATTCTTTAAATATTTGTTAGCATTCACCAGTGAAGCCATCTGGGCCTGGGCTTCTCGTTGTGAGAAGTTTTTTGATTACTAATTTAACCTCTCTACTTGTTATAGATCTATTCAGATGTTTATGTCTACTTGAGTCAGTTTCAGTAATTCGTTTCTTTCTAGGAATTTGTTCATTTCACCTAGGTTATCTTAATTTATTGATATATAATTGCTCATAGTATTCCTCTATAACACATTTTTATTTCTTAATGTCAGTAGTTCTCCCTCCAGTTTCATTCTTTATTTTAATCATTTGAGTCTTTTTTTTTTTCTTGCTAGTCTAGCTAAAGGTTTATCAATTTTGTTGATATTTTCAAAGAACCAACTCTTGGTTTTGTTGATATTTCTCTATTATTTTTCTGTTCTCTATTTCATTTCATTCATTTCTGTTCTAATTTTTGTTATTTTCTTCCTTCTGTTACCTTTGAGTTTAACTTGCTCTTCTTTCTAGTTGTTTCAGGTAAGAGATTAGGTTGCTGATTTGAGATCATCTTCTTTAATGTAGGTCATTAAAGCTGTAAGTTTCATTCTAAGCACTGATTTTTCTGCAGCCCATAAGTTTTGGTGTGTTGTATTTATATTTTTATTTATCTTACAGTGTTTTTAATTTCCCTTGTGATTTCTTCTTTAACACAGCTGTCATTTAGCCTTATGTTGTTTAATTTCTACATATTTATAAATTTTCAAAATTTACCTCCGTTATTAATTTCTAATTTTATTCCATTATGGTAAGAGAACA